CCGGGTTCTGCTGTCTCTGATACAGCAGCGTGGAGTGGCAGGGGTCTTCTTGGGAGTGAGCCCAGAGCACACTGGCGGCTGGCCCCACCCCCAGGGACTATAGAATACTCAACTAACCGATAAGAATTTATGAGGCTACTCGACTATTCTATAAACTGATATTTAACATCCTTAGTTCAGCAGAGACTGGCAGGAAGTAGCCCAGGGCAGGAGATTGTATCCTGAGGAGCTCAGCATGTTGTGGTGGGATTCCTCACTGAGCCAGCAGTGGACCATCCCACTGTTAATAGGGCCTTGAGCTAGGACCCAGTGGAATAGGGAGGGTCCAGGTCCCCTTCTTCAATCAACAACCTGTGGCACCTGCGCCCCAGCAAGTACCCCCACTACGTCACAGGGGGTAATGTAGGCATACCGCACTTGCAAATGAAGCCCGGGATTTGAATTTCCCGGGCTTCATTTGCATAAGCGGGGAGCCGCCATTTTTAAAACCCCGCTGGTTCGAACCCCGTGCAGCGCGGCTACACGGGGCTCGAACTAGGTAGTTCGGACTAGGATTCCTATTCCGAACTACCGGTACACCTCGTTCCATGAACTGAGGATACAGTAGGGATGTAAGTGACTAGTCGAGCGTAGGCTTATCGGGTAGTCGAGTCACTACATGACTACTCACTTAAAAGCCAGTTCCCCCCAACACCATCTCCGCAGTACAGCGGGGGACAGGGAAAGCAGAGGTAGAACTGAGAGAAAGTGTAATGCTGACAGCAGGAGGCCCTGCAATCTGTCATGGTTTGTAAAGCCTCTGCTATGCAGATAAAAGGTAATATCTGAGAGGATTGCAGACTTTGCCACGAAGAAGGCCATGTAGTCAAATGAAGACATAATAGAATTTGCAGCAGAATTCATTCCCATAAAGGGGAACTGAATATGGAACACTTTTTACCGGAGCAGAAAAATGTTAACCAACTTCTTCACCAAGTGAAGTTTCTCCTGCCTCACAAAAGCACCTGTGGGAGAAGGCGTTTGAGAGATGCAGTTTATTTGCTAAAAGCAGACACTGGCTTTCCGTGAAGTTCATATCATTACAAATCCAGTCTTGCCAAATGCAGTTCATTATAGATTTCAAATGCAGACTGAAATTAATGGGCACAGAGGATGCTCAGCACACTGCAGGATGAGATCCTGGTCCACATACCCCCTTTCCCAAGCCGTTTATCAGTCTGCTTGCACTATATGTAGCTACTAGGAACAAAGAAGTTACTTCAACACCACCGGCTGCTACCCTTTCTTTGAAGGCCTATGAACAAGTCAGATATCATGACCATGGAGTGGGTTAGATGGGACAGAAATGTTATGAGTGAACAGTGTAACTAGACATGCTCTGAGGGAAGAGCTGGTTAGCACACAAACCTGAGATGCCAACTGGACTCAACCAACTGCTGAAGTCTCATTGGGAAAACATTCTGAAAGGGAATGCTCAAGAGCATGCAGCTGGACAGTGTGGCTGTGTCTAGACTACATGCCTCTGTCGGCAGAGGCATGTAGATTAGACACATAGGCAAAGGCAAATGAAGCCGCGATTTAAATGATCGCAGCTTCATTTACATTTACATGGCTGCCGCGCTGAGCCGACAAACAGCTAATCAGCTGTTTGTCGGCTCGCGCGCTACTCTGGACGTTCCCCCTGTCGACATCAAAGCCTAACGGGGCTGCCGACAAAGGGCTTTGATGTCGACAGGGGGAACGTCCAGACTAGCACGAGAGCCGACAAACAGCTGATCAGCTGTTTGTAGGCTCAGCGTGGCAGCCATGTAAATGTAAATGAAGCTGCGATCATTTAAATCGCGGCTTCATTTACCTTTGCTGAACAAACAAATCTACATGCCTCTGCCGACAGAGGCATGTAGTGTAGACGTACCCTGTAAGGACAGAAGACTTACATATGGACTGAATGATTCCGGGGAATGGGAATGCAATAGGGAGCTCTGTGTTCAGAATCCAGCTCAGATCGAAAATACTAGAAGTCGACATTCAAGAGACATTTAGATGCCTGCATTAAGTCATTCTGCAGGTGTCAATCCCCTCCTGTGGGGCAGGACCATCCAGAAAGGGACAGACAAGTGTAGGTGCCACTGCCTCAGACAAACAATGGGTATTAGCAAACCCAAGTCTACCCTTTTCTGCACTACACTGGAAGAAAACTCCCCATACTATTGTTCAGTTCAAAAGGCAAGCACCAGTGATCACTGGTTCCCACCATGAAGTAAAACAGGTTCCAGGTCACGCGAGAATTCTTCCTGCAATATGGAGGGTAGAGGATCCGATACAAGGAACCAAAAAAAAAAAAAAATCTCATGGGGCATACAAATTCCTCTCCAGAATATGGACATTGGGGAAAAAAACACCCCACAACAAGATGTTTCTTGGACTGGAAAACTAAAAGAAATCCTATACATTTCAGTTGTGTTTATTGACCATCACCACTGCAAATAAGGAACAAGAGCCCACTGAATCCTTCTATTGACTTCAATGAGCATTTGCTCATACAAAAAGGAAACCTTTTTGCACCTGACTATCTTTAGATGGTATTAGTGTGCTACCCTGCATGCAAAGTAGCTTTACTTATCCAACTGTTTTCTAGATAAGATATAATTTTATAATATGTTGTTTTAAATCCCTCAGCCCTATCACCATTTGAAAGCCTCAGAGTAGAAAAACAACTTACATGTACCAGTTAGGCAATATCTACAGGGAATATTTCCAAAACTATATGCAGAATGTGCCACTGAAACGCAAACCATTTATGAGGTCTTAATATACTGTTGTATTATAAAAACTTTGCAAAATTGTCAAATACTTGGAAACCCGGCACAAATTCTATTTGCCTGTCCTTTGCTGTGACAATTATGGCAGTAATGAAATAAACCATTGAAAGTTAAAGCAAGGCGAGTATACACTAAAGATGAATACTAATGTATATACAAGGTTTTTTCCAAATCAGATGCAACTAAATCTCTGTGCTCACACATACAATGTTATTCATAAAACTTCACACAGCAGTCAGAATGTGGTTTGCCCTAGCAATCTTGCTGCTAGTACAATTGAAAGGAAAATAATACATTCAATACTTAGGAAAACAACAAACTTGCAAAAGGGCTTTTCTGTCAGTCACCATTATGAGAAAATAAAATAACTGGTAATTAACATTCAATTCTATTGCCCACTGATACTTTCTAAATTCCACTCTAACACTGCAGGATTTATTACAGATGACTGTTCCTAATGACCTCTCCCATTTCATTATACACATGTACCATACCTTGGGATTTCCTCCTCCTTCTTTAGCTGCATACAGCATCTGGAGGGCAGATTCTGCTAGCGTCTTTGTCTGGTCCAGGACAGTCATCTGTTGCTGATGATCTAGCATTTTGGATGCCACTCCAACTGCTGCTAAAATCAGGGGTTCAAAGTAACTTGCCAGTTGCGTAACCTAAGACAATAAAGATGATGCTTGGGATACATTTTCTGAGGGAACACCTCCTCTCTAATTAACATCAACGAGATCGTTAGCTGTTCTTTGAACACAATTTGAATAGCACACCTTCACAGTCCTTCAGAATTGCATAAAATAATTCATTCTAATGTCTTCATAAGCTATTCCATCTCTTCTTCTCCTGTGACGCGACAATATAACAATGATTTCCTTTCAGATGATCTCAACTTTGAGAGAGACGGGGATATCAGATGCAATTGTTTTCAAAACTGACATGGAAGTCAGACAGTACTTAAGGGCATAAACCAAGACAGTCTCCTCCACCACAAGTGGAAGGACCTGTAATTAAATGCTGGAATTTCTCACTTGGTTGCAGACAACAGAAAACAGAATAGAATGATATTGCACCTGGAATTTCAGAAGAGACGTATCTGATCTCAGATAGACAGTCTGTCTTTTGAACTTTCCAGATAGTTACTATGTCTATGAAGGAACAAATTTCACTGAAAGACTTATTTAAATTTTAGGATTCAGAAACATACTATATTTTGCTGAAGAACTAATGTTGCTTCAGGTTATAGTCTGTTATTCTATCATGAATAAACAGGTCCATAAGGAAGCCAAGTGGCCAAATCACATGCTTATACTCAATAACTTTTCCCCCCGACCCTTTCTTCCCCCCTCAATAAGGGTATGTCTACACTACAGCGTTAATTTGAGTTAACTTAATTCAAAATAGTTAATTCGAATTAAGCTAATTCGAATGAACGCATCTACACACAAAATCTATTTTGAAATAGCACATCCACACTGACTGGATGCTGGATCACATTTAAGGGCAGCTGAAACCGGTTCTGGCAGGGCATCAGGTCAGTAGTTGCTTTGTATGGCTGCTGTGTGAGGCTATCTGAGGCTTGTGCTTAAAGGGAACCCCTGGACAACCGGTTCTCAGCTTTCCCGCTTGCTTGCCTACCTCGCTGAGGGACAGCAAAGTGTTTTCCTCTTTGTCTGCTTTGGTTGCTCTCATTTGGGACACCACAGCACTTGGCTCCATGGAGCCAGAGCTGCACCTGGGTACTCTGGTGCTCATTCTTAATGTATTGCTGCAAGCCTGGCAGCAATTGCTGGAGGCTGCCTGGCACCATCTGCTGCAGGCCAGACCCCTGGCCCTCCTCCTGACCCCCGGGGGCTGTGGAGGAGCAGCAGCAATGCCCGTGCTCCACTGCATCTGGTGTCTGGACACCAGCAGCGACTGGTGGGACCATGTTGTTCTGGAGCGCTGGGAACCAGCTACCGGGGGGGGCAGGTGGTGTAAGTGCCCTCTCTGGGAGGGGTCGGACTGTCCCAGCCATGCTACAGAACGCCCGCAGTGGCCAGGATTGCAGCGGGGGTGGCTCTTGGGAGTGGGGCAGTGATTTAGATGCCTCCTCACCTGCCTCGACTTCTCCGAGCACAATATGCCGCACGTGGTGGCAGCATGCTGTGTGCTCCACAATTTATGTGAGAGGAAGGGGGAGGCTTTCCTGTCAGGCTGGATGGCAGAGGGTGACCACTTGGCTGGCCAGTATGCACAGCCCTGCAGGGCTGCCATCCGGGAGGCCCTCTGGGGGGCTCTCTGCATCCGGGAAGCCCTGCAGGAGAGCTTCCAGGTGGAGGAGGAGTGACGTCCCCTTGGCGTGCTCCACTGGGGCCTTGTGTCTTACATTCCACCTCCACCTCCACCTCCTTCCTCTTCCCCTCCCTGATGTAAAATAAAAACACCGGTGTTGCCACGAAAAACTCTCTTTATTTAACATCACTAGGGTGGGGAAGGGGAGGAATGAGGGCGGGAGAGGGGAGGGGGGAAACCTGGGAGGAGGGAGCTGGAAGGGGAAGGAAAGAGGAGGAAGGGGGAGGGGAAGCTCAGGGTGGGGGGTCTTGCCGGCCCTCCTGTCTCCCAGCACTGAGGGTGGGGCAGGAGGAATGGGGGTGCACGGACCCCACCAGGGGGGCACGGACCGTCTGACTCCCCAGGATGCGGTCCAGGGCCTTGTAATGTGGGCAGGTGTCTGGGTCAGCCCCTGGTTGGGAGCCCCTGGCATAGGCCTGCCGCAGCATCTTGATGTTTGTCCGCACCTGCTCCTGGCTGCGCATGTGGCCTCTGGTGGCCAGGCTGGCAGCCATGCGGCTGTAGACGGCCGCATTCCTGTGCCTAGTGTGGAGATCGTGGGCATTGGAGGTCTTCCCCCAAACCTCAATGAGGTCTACAATCTGCTGCCAGCCTGGTCCTGGGGAGCGGCGGAGGGCTGGGTGGCAGCGGGTTGCTGGCTCATGCTGTGCCAGGTGCATGGTCTGCTGGCTGGGTGCTGGTAGGCTTGCAACTGGCACTGGCACCGTGGCCAGAATCTGCCCCTTTAAGGGCTCCGGGATTGGGGGGGAGCAGACGAGTTTTCCTGGTTGTGCCCAGAGTGGCCACCAGGGCTCCCTGGGAAGGGCTGGAGGCCGCATATTTCGAATTAAGTGTCTACACAGCACTTATTTCGAATTAGCTATTTCAAATTTGGCGTTACTCCTCATAGAATGAGGTTTACCAAATTCGTATTAAGCACTCCGCTATTTCAAACTAATTTCGAAATAGCGGTTTGCATGTATAGATGCTATTAAAGTTAATTCGAAATAACGGCTGTTATTTCGAATTAACTTTTCAGTGTAGACATACCCTAACTTTTCCTCCGACACTTTTTCCCCGACTTTTTTTTTTTTTTTTCTTTTTTGGCTTAACAAAAAATCCTTGGTGTTCCTCAGAAAAAAAATTATTGTTTGGCGTTCCTCGGTCTTAAGTTTAAGAAACACTGGTCTATAAAGAACCACCACATATGGTTAAGAGGATGGACAGGACCAGTTAATAATCACACATCTTTACCATTTAGAGCAGCAATAGTCAGCCCGTGGCTCTCTAACATGTCTCCTATGACTCTTTGGAGCACATGATAGCAAAATGCTGTGATTTAATCATTAATTGATCAGGAAGCTTTTACTATCTTATTAACCAACTGCAGTTGATAAAATAATAATACTTTGTCAGTCATTTTGCTGTGAGAATTTTATAAATCTGCATCTAAAAACCTAAATACTTCTCTGATCTCGTTCATATTATATACAGCTCATATTATATGAGCTAGGGCTGCCAAATTTGGTATTCAGTTTCCTCTTCTCCTAACTTAAAGCAAAGTCTTGGTTTGGTTGTGCCAGGACAACCAGAAGCCCTGGGGAAAGGATTGTTTTCCATAACATTCAAAGGCAGGGGCTGCTGTTCAGAGCGATGCAATATGGGAGTAGCCACTGGGGCAGCGACCCTACAAGGGTCAGCTAGCCCGCAGAGTGTCCACTGGCACTGGGGCAGATGTACCACCAAGGAAGTGGCCAGCAGGGCTAGAGAGCCACCATCTTGCCTGCCAGCACACCAAGTTAGGGGCCTCCTGCCCAAACCCTTTCCCCACTCCCGGTTGGAGGCGTCTGGGGGGAGAGAACAGGTCCCTGACAGCTGAGGGGGCGGCTAGGGGGTGCAAGTAAAAGCCTCTGACGGGTTGGGAAGGGCCTGGGTAGAGATAGAACAGGCCCCTGGTGGGAGTGAACAGATCCCTGGTAGTTGGGGAGTCCTGGGGGGTGGAGGGGAGAGGAGAAAACAAGCAGGGGACTCCCTGCCCTGAGACCCTTCTTATCCACAACCCTCACTCGCACACACCCTGCCCCTACACCCCAAGGCCATGCTCTGAAGGACCTGGGCAATGAAGGGTAAGTCTGTTAGTATATATACACAAATCAGAGATCTCCTAGAGGGCCAATAATGTCACTAAAGACAGTGTTTAAAAAAAGGGGCTGCTGTTCTTGTGTTTTTTTATTTCAAATTTCTGAGAAACAAAAAAACTGGTGCACGACTTTATCCAATTCCTTGCCTGCCAGAGTTTTAGTGTTTGCCAGAGTGTGATTTCAAGAAGCCACTCTCTTTTGGGGGCCAGAGGGGCTGAGTCACCTTTTAATGACTCCATTTCCCAAGGATCTGCATATTTGACACATTAATCTAAAAAGAAACACTTCTGCAATTAAGCAAGTATTAATGCAACAGACAGAGGTCTTCAATACATAAATAAGACATTTTTAGTAAATCCTAGAACAGGAAAAGCGCTCAATACCCACAACATTAAGGAACATTTTAAAAAGCATCATCCAAATCCAAGATGAAAACAATGCAAAGAACATTTGTTTATGACATAATTACTGAATACAGCACTTAAAACATATAAAGAACCCCTAACAATTCAGAATTAACTCCAAAACTTAGTCCTCAATTAACCCTCATGTGGCCAGGAATTGAAGGTCTTGTATCAAAGCAGCCAGAGGACAGCGAGTAATCTTGCATGTCCTCTTCTATGCAATAATTAGGCATATAGGTTCAAACAATTTTTGCCTCTGATTTAAATTTTCTGTCTTCAGGAATACAAGATCTTTCCCCCACCCCATATTTCTTTGTCCTTATTTAAATGTAACAGGAATAAGCTTGCAACACACTGCAGCAGCTACCATTGTCTCATTAATGACACTCAATAGAGGACCACGTAAGTACCTTGTGTCCCAGCTGAGCTGCCTCTCCTCGGGCTGCTGTTGCTATGGGATCAATAAGATGCCCGATTTCCTGAACAACTGATGTCAACTGTTCCTGTAAAGCCTAACAGAGAGAGAGACTGTCAGTTCTTTCCACAGCAACTCATTCAGTGAGCCACACCATTTCACAAGATACCCTCGTGCCAGCTGAACTGCAAAGAACCCTGTCAAACCACATTCCGCAATATAAAGAGCAGATGCAAACGAGTAAGTTTTATTTACATGCTTGTCCATCTCTCCACACTGATACTCCCCTCTTGCAGGATGCCCTGGCAGAGGCTGTTTGCTGCATGAAGAAGATAAAAAGGCTGCTTCTAGCTCTGGCTCTCAGTGCCTGTTCTGGCTTTCGCTTCTAGCTCCAGTGGAAACATAACAAGTGATGCTATTGTTGCCTCTGATTTAATGACATTAGAATGCTCAGAAAATCACCAGGACTGTTGTCCTAAACATGAGTCAGCACTTTCAAGGCCACAGTGCTGCACAGAGAGGAATATTTTCATCGTGGACTCCACACATTGATATGAAAGGGAATGGAAAAATAGGAGAAAGGACTGATCTCCAAAAATACGGTAGTGGAGACAAAAGGAGAAAGAAGGGCCTGGTGTCAGAAATGACAACACTAGAACTATTTCCTTCTAGGTCAAAGGCAGTTCATGCCTTGAGAACCAGGATTTAGCTCATCTTGCAAAAAAACCAAGAAATCAAACAGCATTTTTATGATTTGCTTGATTTACATAATGCTTTAAATAAGGTTTGGAAGCTTAAGCAGTGCTTATTTAAACTTCTACCACTTACGAAGGTGCAAAACAGGATGAACATTTTTAACAAAAGGAAAGAGAAATGAAGTTTTTCTAAAAAGAAACTTTTGTGATAACTTTGTGCGCTTTTATTTCTCATGAGCCACTGCAGGAAGACTAAAGTTTTATTGGTGTATCTAGCATTGCCGCTTAGCTTGAAATTGAACAATCACTTGCATGTGTAAATTTAAAAGAGAAGAATTTCATATCAATTTCATGAAATCTGGAAGTAAATGTAAAGCTATTTTGTGTAGGAGACAGGAATAATGACAACCTTTATTATTAATGATGGACTTTTATTTGAATATGAAATGGATCACTCAGAGGGCTCACTACGTTAGGAGTATATGTTAGTAGTGTTTCCCTCACAAATATGTTGAACACTTGCAATGTGGAATGCTTAGCTTGGGACTGTGCTGTCTGCTTTCCAATTAAGTGAAATGCCAGAATTTGATCAATGAATATATTTGATTAAGGGAAAAAAAGGAAATATAAAAAACAATGCCCCTCAGGCCTGCTGTGAGGAGATGCTAAATCGCATCTAGTCATTCACCCTTAATCCATGTCGCATCACATTTTATTTTGCCTCAATGTCTTCCCTATCATGGAGTCCTATGAACACCACCATTAAACATCCCAGATTAGTCCAGAAATCAATCTGTGGATTTGCTATAAAAGTCTTCTAATGGGAAGATTTCTCTCCTGAGGGCAGTCTGGATTGCCTCCACATACAGTACTTCCTAGTTCCAATGTTTTCCTTCTGATATGAAGAAAAGCAAAAACACAACAAGTAGGAGTGCTTAATTTCACTCAGTTACGATGTAGTCTGTCTTACCTCAACTGAGATGTCGTCTCTTGTGGCCAAGTTCTGACTGACTGCTGCAAGGGAAGCTTGTTCAATATCTCTAATACATCTATTGATTCCATCAATGGAGTAATCACATTCTCTCTGGCCCGGGGCTTTGTCCCTGAAGCAAAAAAAAGATATGGGTTATTTAAGGTTGAAGAAGAGCCTCCCTCATGAATCCCCACAAAATGCATTTCATTAATAGACAATACACGAAGCAAATGGGGCAGCAAGGCAGAGAACTAGGCTTGGATTGTTGTACCAAGAAGGGTTTAAAACACATAGTCAAGATGTTCTGGATGTTTTGTGGTATGTTAGCTCTAAGGATCTGGCAAGAGGAGAGAGCCTTTAAGGAAGCAGAACCATGACATTCTCTCAGGTGAGTAAGTAGCTGTACTAGCCACTTTAAAGAAGTACCCTCGAAAGCTGGTCATAGCAGAGGATTTAAGAAAAGCAACTGAGATAGATGAACAAAGTCTACCAGCCACTGCTGAATATAGGTGAGAAATCAATCAATAGTCCCATGAAGAACTCACTGGGTATTAGTTATATTTTACTCTCAAACAAAAATTCATCTGTGGGGGCTTTAATCTAGACTGGCAGTTTGTGGTTGAAGTGTAAAATCATGAAAAGACAATATTACTTTAGATACAAATACAAAACTACCAATATTCAGTTTATTCACTCACTACTCACTTCCACTGAAAGTCAGGATATATCATGTAATCCCTCTTTTTGTGTGTGTGTTTAAGTTTACATACAAAAAAGGTTTATTGATTCTTCTAAAATTTAGGTGCATGCACACACAGATGCAAAAACAATCTTATAAACTAATCAGAAAAAAATTGTAGTAGAGAACAAACACTGAAGTTACTTTGGTCCTGATAAAGCTAAGCAATTCAGCATGTGCTTTGCTGAATCAGAAACCTAGACATCCTATTTGACCTGCCTAAAATTATAGGCAATATGCAGGGAATGTTTTTCACATTCTGAATATTATTAAGTATGTTTTACATATATTCTGATTTACATAGGCCAACAGTATTTTCTGCTCTCTTTGCTTTAAACTGAATAAAAAGAGTAACTTGGCAAAACCCCCGCTTTCTAGAGCTATACGATCATCAGTGACGTTTACACACAAAGTATAAACCGAGAGATCTTGTGTACCATAGAATGCAATCAATAGTTGTCAAACAGACAAAGGCACACACTGCTAAGGAATTAAATTGTATTTTCAAGCTTCTAAGAATGAATAAAACAATAGCAGGCAATAGAGAAAGATTAACTCTTATCACAGCTCCCTCTGTCCCTTCAGCTGTCCATGACTTCCTATTCAGATATATAGCAAAGGAAACATTTGCTGTATAGCAAGCAAATAGTGCACAAGTCCTTGTGCATGGTTTTCATCAGTGAAATGACAATGGCAGCATGGGCCACTTGCTACTTCCATTTCATTCCACTTTGCCAGATAAGGTGCTGAGGTATTATGTCATGAGAGTGGAAGACAAAAAAAGTTAGGACAGAAAACGTACCTAATGGACGTGATCAGACTCTTAATTGAATCTGAAACCGTATGTGAATGCCCAGCGAGTACAGACCAGGTAGGTGGGTCTTTGGGATTGATGGCTAGCGAACGAGCAGTTTTGATCAACAGAGCTGAGCTTTCCAGCATCGTCTTGGCAGAAATCAGAATTGGCTCCTGTGCTCGGGATCCCTGTGATCAAAAGAGCAACAAGACACACGTTCAAGGAACAGAATTAGACTCTTCTTCAAAATAAGTGGCAAACGCTTGGACTGCTTGCATGCTAACAAAGATGTACTGAGGGAGGACTAAACATAACACTCACAGTAGCAGGAAATGCAGAACATTTGTAAGTCACCCTTAGAGTCTGTCAACTCATTTTGCTCCTGAAGAGCTAGTTTTATTCATGGCTTGAGAGTGCCATCAAGAAATGAATCATTATGTAATATTAGACAGGGAGAAATCACTGCAGTAAATTCACTGTAGAAAGAAAAAAAATCCAGCTAATTTTCTCTTTGTTGTACTTAAGCAGACAGCTTTTAGATTAGCAAAGGGGATACATTTAAGTGAAAAGAGGAGAAGCCTGAGACTCTTGCCCAAATAGAGAACCAGTGGGCATAATTAAGCAGCATGATAACTAGTTGCAACAATTATGAGATGGAGGCAAATGTGACATTTCAACAGATTAAATAAATGTGGACTAAAATATTGTAATTCAGTCACAAAATTTGCATTTAATATCCTAAGTGACTGCTAGCAAGCTAGAAACACCAACTCTGTCAGGCCTGGAGGGGACAGATCCTAAGCATATCAATTACATTATGTCCCACAACATGTGGATCCAGATAGGCACAGTTGCTGAATTTTCTGTTTCTGCTGTCTTCAGCTTGAGATGAGGCCACTGAAACAGGAGTCAACAGTTCGTAAATCAGCTCTGAATACATCTGCAGTGCTCTGTTACAATGGGAACTTTGATAGTTTTGAATGAGCTTTAGCGCTCTAAAATTCCATGAATTTCCTACCTGCATGTTAGAGTGTTTTCTTTTGTGAAACCCATTCCCCACAAAAAGCTACTTCTTGTCAACACCACTTTTTCTAGAATCTGGATAACTGAGACATAAGCCATTCAATGAAGCCTAGTGATAACTTCCTTTTAAATTGCCTTTGTAACACAGCAGACATACGACTTCCCTGGATAGCAAGAACTACCTGACAACGCGCAAATCATGAGTACTATGTTAAGAGCTAGTAGCAAGAGATAAAAGGGTACCATCACAGCATCACCAGGCTTGTATCACCTGTGTGAAATTCAAGGCCAGTGGTTAACTGATAAAGAGTATACCCTTCAAGAGGTCCATACGAAGGAACTCAAGGAATGCAGCCTGGCAGATCGGATCAGCCCTTCAGCTGGGGCAGATATTTAAAACAGGAAAGGGCTTTTGTTGCAGGCTATCGGCTGCACAGGGAATGTGGGAAAGACTGTTTCATGTATCTGTGCTGCAAGCAATTCTCAAAGGAAAAGAAGCAATCTTGAATACTGAACTGGCCAAGTAAGAAAAACAAAGGATTAGCCACTCTTTTCACTGACAGTGTAAATCACTTGTTACTTTAAATTCATGAAAATGTTCCTGAAAGGGGATCATAGGTCTTGATCCTGCAATGAGTTCTGCATATCCACATGGAACTCTATGAAGGATCAAGTTCTTCAAAAGTTTTCTTGGTTACAAAAGTGTAACTCTACATTTTACCTTTGATAATAAAGCTATCATGAGGGAAGGAGGACACATCAAGTGCTTATTCTATGATAACAATACAACTCTCTTCCTACCTCCATGCTGATTTGGGCTGGTACACTGACAAACTCTGGATTGGAAGCAAATGCTGTCAGATTTTCCACAGCTTCAATCAAAGGTGCAGTTGCAATTCTACACTTGTTGCGGTTATCTTCAGAGAAATCACCATCCAGGGCCTGGCAAAGAGCACGGCAATTAGTTACGTGAACCTGGCACCTCTTGAGGGTAGTGGCACAAGAGCCCGTTTGTAAAGGCTCAGAAGGATTACATACCGAAAAAAGATGGTTTAATTCTCTGTAACTTTCAAAACACTTATAACATTTGAGATTTGCAAATAGATTTGAATGCTCCTTCAGACATTAGAGATGTTAAATTGCATTTAATCAGCTAATTGAGTAGTGAATGGAATTTCCATCAATTACTCGATTAGTCAATAAGGTGGGAAACTGCAGAGTCGCAGTGGCCCGGGAGCTAACCCAGCTGCGGAACAGGTAAGCATCCGATATTTTCGCCTCCTGTCTGGTAAAAAAATTCAGAAAATACCGGACACCTAAAATGTCCAGTATTTTTTGATTTTTTTCCTGGCCAGGCGGTGAAAATGTCGGGTGCTTACCTGTTCCGCAGGAGAGCTATCTGGCCTCCCAGTGGAGACAGTGCTGGGGAGAACCGGCTTTTAAGCCAGCTCCCCCTAACACCGGCTCCTGCTCCCTCCTCTTGCTGCCTTTTTCTGACAGAGGCAGCAAAAGGGGAAGGGAGAAGCGACTAGTTGAGTCACTACTCGACTACCTAATAAGCATATGTTTATCAGGTAGTCAACTAGTAGGGTTGCCAGGTGTCTGGTATTGACCCGGACAGTCCGGTATTTTCACCCCCTGCCCGGTAAAAAAAATTCAGAAAATACTGGACACCTAAAATGTCCAATATTTTTTTATTTTTTTCCCGGCCAGGCGGTGAAAATATCAGGTGCTCACCTGTTCTGCAGGAGAGCTATCTGGCCCAGAGCAGGAAAAAAAGATGGCGGACTGTTAGGGCCAAAAAGCATTTTTTAAAGGGCCATGCTGTCTCGGGGTCTTTTTTTTTTTTTGCTCAACAACTTTGGTCCGCATCCCTCCTTTTTTTCCCCCTCAACAGAATTTTTTCCCCAGTGTTTTTTGGGGGGCAGGGGAGGGGAGGGAGAGGAGTTCAGGATTTTTGGTTAAACCATCTGGCAACCCTATTGACTAGTTGCTTACATCCATACCAAACACAAAGATAATCTTTGACTTAACACTTTGGAAAAAAGAAATAAATTTTAACACAGTATGTTTCTTCACTTGTTCATATGATTATTGACCCCAAGCCCAAAGCAGCTGTGCTGAGACAAAGGGCAGGAAAAAGCTTAAAATAACTGCACTCTAGTGACATTCCATAAATCATGTTTTAATACCTCAAGTCCACAGTTGCTAACAAGTCGATCCTTTTCTTGGTGACTAAAACCTCTAAGCCAGATATTCATCTTCACAGGTGTTATTGACTCATTTTCACATAAGTGAACCCATCTCCTTCATAATCTCAGAGGAAATAGCCCAATATGAAAGCAACTTCAGTATAAAATCATAATAGAATAACCTCCACACCATCCCTGCAGGCTCAGAATTCTTCCTCTCCATACCTAGCACCTTCTGCCATCAGCTGAACACAGTGGTTTTACATTTTGGCAACAAGCCAGCTAAAGGCTTACTGAGAGATTGAGATTCATGGTTCCCATGTTTCTCACAAGCTTCATTCCTTCTCATGAGAAACCACTTTCTACCAGAATTTGGGGAGGTATTTAGAAAACAAATGGTTGACATTTAACAAAAGTTAAGCATTATTTTTAACTTGAAACAAGCTAGTCTGTCTCAATTTTGAAAGTCGCGTCCCCATATACAACCCCAATCCAGACAACTAATAGCTAGAGCTGCAGAGGTTACCTGTTTTACATGCAGCAAGAACATTTATGCCTGGCCAACCCTTGAAAGTTATACCAGTATAACTGCTATGATATAGAACTGATATGATATAGAAATGATACGTACATGTAGTTGTACAAGAGTACAAACACCTTAAAGTAAGCATAGCTGATATGCTCTAGGAATTATTTTGGGAAGTTGTATGGCCTACACTATATAGGAGGTCAGACCAAATTATCACAAAGGTCCTTTCTGGCCTTAAAACTACACATTTAGTCTCTCCTTTTTAAAGCTGCCCAAGGCTTCCCATTACAAGACCCTGATTTCAGTTGCTTGTAACTTTGCCAAACTTTAACTATTTAGTGTAAAACTTTCCATCCAGTTCTTTTATTAAAAAAACCCCACAGAAAATGTAGAAAATTATATACATACAACTATCTTAAAAGAGCATTTTTTGTGTTATGCAGGCAAGCTGTCAAACGTTAAGAGATGCATAAAATTAAGATAGCCTGTGCAATCTTAATTAGTCTCCCATGTGATACAGTCTTGAATTCCATAACGACATACCGTTTTTTTTTTTTTTAGTATCCAGCCTGTGCACAAGCTGGATTTGCTCTGTGGATCTATCGGGGTTGTGCAGCAAAGAAAGTGATTGTCTACAGTATCCCTGATATATTTTCTGGGTGTTGCGAATATAAATTAACGTTGTCTGATTGTGAAGCACTCAAATATAGTGATGAGCACTGCAGAAAAGCTGCTGGACACATTAATCTTCAAAGCAGCAGTTGAATAATGTAAAGAAAGTCTGGGCCACACGTAGGATAGGGAGGATACAACAATATTGAACAGCTGCTCATTAAGTATGCACCATCCATTGATGTACTCAATGAGGAGACCCGCCGACAGGGTGGGAGGGGAAAGGGGACAACAGCCCCAGACCCCAGCAATTCTAAAGGGACTCAGGGTCCCCCTGGGCCCTTTAGAATCTCCACCGGAGGGCTACACAGTGCACTCTGTTGCAGCTCTAAGGGCCAGCGGGAAGGTAGGGGTTCACTGAGCCATATGGGCTGTGTGGGGGCTGGTTGCCCTGGTCCCACCCATCCATACAGGCTCTTTACAACTGCATTCACATGAAGGAGGCTTGTACCACTTGAGCTATGCCAGTACAGTGAAGTGTTCAGCTTTCCAAGTTTATTTAAGGTATGCCTATACAGTGTTTTGCATAATGGGGTTGAGGTCCATGACAAGTCCTAATGAATGACAATATTTTAAGAAGTGTACTGCTAAGAGAAAGAAGATACTCTTAAAAAGGTGCTCTTCTGTTTCAGCAGAGCTGAAGAAAAATGAAAGAGAACATGTACCTTGATAGTTTTCACCAGGTTGGCGGTGCTGTTTGCAACTTCCTTAGCTGATTGCACGAAATGTCTCTTGGCAACAGGGTTGGCTGTCTTCGATGAAGCAATACGACAAGCGTTACACAAAGCAGAAGTATGCTTGGCCACTATTGTGGCAGCTGACAAAACCTGAGAAGACAGATGACACGAAAGAGGTGTGGAACCAGGCAAAGGAACAAGGTAGTAATGCCATTTTAATTCTAAACAAACCATGATTCAGACCCTTTCTGTGTCCCAAAGCTGAGTATTTGCCTTCATGAACTGTCAAAGCAAACAGATGGGTCCCAATACATCTCTAAAAAGGTCTCCTCGCAACGCTCTGGAATGAGTTACCTGCGAAGGGCTACTAGCTGGGTCCACTAGATTTTGGCATGCCATCTGGATCGCCTGATTGGCCCTGGCAAACTGGATAGGATCAACAAGGCCCTGGTGACCAGCTTGACTGTTAGGGTCTGAGATGCCAACCAGGTAAGCAGCCTAGAAAGGGAACAGGAAATAAAATGCAAATTCAAAGATGGTTGAATGAGCCAGCCAAATGTTGATTGACCAGGGTAGCCACGCTGTAGTTAGGAGTCAATAGCAAAGCTGCTATTAATAAATGCCTAGCAATGAGCCCGGAGGAGGATGGAAAAGCTGGTGTCACTGTAATATGATTTGTGAAATCTCATTAGTCTAAACAAAACTGCTCAGCAAAATCCAAAGGGTGAAGATACTTCATTATCCAATAAGCATCCAAGGAGAATTGATTTATCCCTAGAGAAGCCAGGTAAGAACTCTGATGCTGACTGTTCAAGGTAACTTTCATCCTCTCACAGCAGCCAGATTTTGAGGGTTCCAGTATTTTGTTCGGGTTTGAACAAACCCTTCAGTTCCCTACACATTGCCTTTTCATGCCTC